CTTCGATGAAGACCTACAACTGTAAACGAAGTGTGTTTTCACGATCAGGTATGCTTAAAGATGATGCCCTTACAAAAATATTCATTTTGTCTTCGAGGTGAGCATTTAGCTAAGCGCGTTACCATATACAGTAACTGAATTAGGAATTGCACATTGCACTTTAGAAAACAGCATTGTCGACAACCTTCTCTGGTCCATAGATATGCTTGAGCAACCGTTGCCCTTAAATGAAGCTTGCACAGGAAACGATACTTTTCAGTTTTTGAATGAAAGAACGGGTATATATGAAGGGCATTTTTTTAGACACAGCCTAATAAAAGAAATAGACAACGAAGCCAAGGAAGCTATAGAGAACTTATTTACAGTATTTTAACAGCAATACAGTAACTGTGAAACAACTGTAACGAAATTCAAGTGAGCGAAAGGACAAGTAATGTAGTGTAACAATGTCGACAGCTGGGAGAGTTGGTATGGTTACATATAATTTGAAACGTTGTAAGTTCCTACTTCGTCTCCTGTGTTTGCGCTGCCTTAAATAATGTGAAAGGACAACCTGCCGCCAGTATTCTTGGAGAGATTGGGATATAGGCGGCAGCACCGTACCCACTCAAGTGTGGATAGGCGGTCGGTGGTATGTATACAAAAACACGCCGCGGCGCGCTTCATTGCGTGCGGTCTAAGCCGATTGTCGACGGATAAATGCGTTAACTGCAGCTTACTGTTAATATCTGCGCTCTTCTCCACTGAATCGGTGTACGACGCCTATGCAACGTTAACATACCCGCGAGTAAAGAGCATTCTGCCTTTCATAGGGATTCTCGCACTGGATTACTCTCTTCACGCTTTCGCACTAAATCACGCCTCTGCTCTGTTGTTTGTACGTGGTTAGCCTGTGTTCCGCCTGCTACGCACTGCTGTAGCATGGCACTACTTATTTACACCTTTGTCATCTACATACTACAAAAAAAGAGGGAAAGAAAGATAACAGAAAGCCCGCCTATCTTTGTGATTCGTACAGTATACCAACTTTCACACCTTATACACATGAATTTTTTCGCTCATTCTGTTCACCATGAAATGTGAGAGAGTCGGTAAGTCTAGTCAGGAAAGCTTAGTGGCTGACGGCGCTTTGCGCTACCCTGCGTTTACCACGTGTACGCACACGTTCTTGCATCAATAAAAACATAAAAATTATAGAAGGGTTCACCAGAAAGCTTCCATCGATGAATTACGTGCATGAGAGTGCTACATCAAAGGCCTGGTTAATGGGACAAGCATGTTTTTTTTTCAGACAAAAAAAAAAAAAAACCACTGCCTTCTGTCGGTCTAGCAATGCCCCATAAACGCTGAAGGCAGTGTGAAAAAGATGGATTTTTAGTGAATTTATACGACAATATATATACGGCATGCCGTCTGAAATAATTTTCAACGTCTGGGCTCTCCAAAGCATTCTTAAATATAAGCACACGGTTACGCACGGTAACTCTGTTTTAAGAACAGTTTGAGCACCGATATGTCACAGTTGATGTCACAGTTAAGTAAGCTTTCATGTAGTGGTACCACGACCTGATAAACACAACTAACGCTCCTCGCATGATCGATTAACTACATTGCGGTAATTGTACACCTACCAACAGCACGCAAGTGCATAGCCTAGAGCCCCCCCCCCCCCCCCCTTTTGTTTTTACAACCAAGTCGCTAAAAAACGCTGCATTCCCACACCATTTAATAGTCCTCCTGTTTGGGAGAATGCCAAGAGCATTTTGCGATGTGCTTGAAAGAGAAAGCGGCAGCCACTCTGAAATTATTGTGGTGAATGAAGGGTACTACGACAATGAACAGCACTCTGGGAAGTTTCACCTGCCGATCTTATTAGTAATTACAATGCGTTAGCGGCCGAGCAAGACCAAATGCTTTCGTACATCGTTTAAACGTAGAAGCAGTTACATTCGCGCTGACATGACCGGAGAAACCACACTTTGAAAACGTACATGACGTACGCGCACATAGAAACACCACGTGGCTAGCAGACGACGCACGGAGCAATCCGCACTTTGCCCTTTTGGCCAGTTGCCACCAGGCGGTGACTCTACTCGATCTCACGGCCAATAGCACCCCCGAACGTACAAATTTCAAATGAGGCATACGATGGCCCATTTATTGAGTTACAATGGCGGTCATACTCCTGTTCACTTAGTACGGTATTGTGTATGTAAACCGGCGAGTGCTAGCCAGCGCCACTATTGGTTCGGACGGCGACTTTGGAGCTTTTTTTTTTAACAGCTGGACCTTACGTAGAACGCGATCTTTCTACCAGCTGGTAGCTGACCAATGAGCTCTCGCATACTACCCGAAGCCAAGAGGTCTGCCTAAGGGAGATACTAGGTGTCCCTTTCACTGTGCCTGGTTCTGCGTACAAATTAGAACGATGCTATACTTACAGTATAGCCGGTGACAAACTACACGACGAGTGTACAAGAACCGGTTAAGATCGCGGTTCTCGAGTAACACGACTCAACAACCTCTAATCGTCGTCTATAGCCGCATAATAAGTCCACCGACGATGTCTTTCGGGTCACCATTCGTAACGTAACTATTCGTAACGCACCTGCCAAATGGCCTCACTGAAAGCAGTGAAGCCATATTTAGCCCATTGGCTCATTTAGTACTAAATTATGTACCGAATGCCGCTACGGCCTAATTAAGCAAACGCAGCCAGTGAAACGCTAGGTTGCCATAAGCGCCTAAATGTTTTTTTTCTTCGCAGTCTGGTTTACCAGTAAGAAAAGCTGATAAATAGTAGTTACGTCATTAAATCAGTTCTCTTAAAAGAGGCTGTTCGTGCCAAACAGCTCCGTATTACATTGTATTCCACATTAGACTGGACATAACGCAGTATTAAAATTGCGGCCATGACTTCCCAGGGGCCACTTTATTCTGGCCAAGCTCAAAACACGCATTAAAAAAGTTAAAAGAAACCACGTGTTTGACGAACATAGGCCAATTTTAGAATATGCCTGTGATGCTCGAGACCTACTTACAGCCGCAATGGCGGATAACGTGGAAAGGTTACGGATACGGGCTGTGAGATTAGTGACAGGCAATTATACCTTCACTATAAGAGGCTCGCAGATTACGTACTACTTAGTTGGAATCAAGTACAGTCTCGTCGAACATGGCAGAGGCTTAATAATGAGCAAAAACGAATAGATGAACACGGGCTTATTAAGCAACCACGTTATGCATCTGCAAGACGGTCACACGGAACAAATGAGGGAGTAAGTAAGGTCGCCTTAAAGCATTCAAGATCTTGTTATCTTCCCATACAAATACTTCCTGATGAGCTCCCCGGGAGATATTTTACATGCCGTGTTTTATTGGTCTAACGAAATAAGTTAAGGCGCATGTCCAAGTTTTATTGCTATCTGCCTTGTTTTTATCATATCACTTCAACATTTTCCTCTCCGCTTTTAACGCTTCTCCTCTTCGAAGCAGGGTGCGCTTGATCTTCCCTGGATCACAGTTCACACACACGAAATTTTTTTTCTAAACTTCCTCAACTGCCCACCCTCCTGCCCAATCGAACAATTGTTTCTGGTGATGTAGACATCACTAATAAATAATGAAACAAATACGTTACGATTTCGCGCCCCGATACTATTCCGCGACTAATGCAAAGGTGCGACATGCTTTCATTGCCCGAAATGAATTCACTGGCGCCGAATCCTACAAAGTAATAGACGAAGTGAGTCTAAAGGTCAAGTTGGCGAGCCTAGTAGAGAGAGAGGACCGAAGTGTAGCAAAACGGATCGCGTTGAATTAAGCTCTCCGCACCTGTATTTCGTGCGTGGTGCTAACTCGAAACGAGATTTACGAAGAGCACGAGAAATCGTAATGGGTACACTCTGCGCGTCGCCCGAATGAACGTCGACCAGCTGATGTAATTTGGATGCGCCGAAGATATGAGGCTCAAACCTTCGAGCTTTAGAGAGGCGAGTTGGACTAATTAGCTTCTGTTAACTGCGACATAACTAATTAGAGCAGAAAAACAACAACGCCGCTCCATCCTGTCTGTCGTCATTACCATATACTAATAATTGTTGGGGTTTATAACGTCCCAAACCAACCATATGATTATGAGACGCCGTAGTGGAGGGCTCCAGAAATTTTGACCACCTGGGGTTCTTTAACGTTCACCGGAATCTAAGCACATGGGCCTTAAGCATTTTCGCCTCCATTGAAAATGCGGCTGCCGTGGCCGGGATTCGATACTGAGATCTGCGGATAAGCAGCAAAGTGCCTTAGCTATTAAACCACCATGGCGAGTTGTTCTTATTGCCTTGTCCGTTGCTTTTTTCACGAGTTAGTTATGTCTGCAGTTAACCTTGAACTTTGTCAGACGTTGCACTCCTCGTCAACTATCACCGTGCCGCAAGGTTATATATGATGCCAGGAAAAAAAAAAGTAATGTTTAATGCATGGGAATTAGTACAAAGCAAAGCATTGGCACACGTACCCGGCTGTGCGAGTTTTGTCTTTCTGTAGCCTGAGCGTACGAGAAAAGATGGTTCACGTGCATGGATGAAAAAAAAAATTGAAAGGAGTGAATCAGCAGGAAAAGCGGCGTTACACGGGAGACCGTCCGGTGGGGAGAAGAGCAAACACTGCAACAACCCTGGGGGCAGCGCACAAGGAAGCGCGGCTACTAACGAGCACGGAAAGAGGGCACCGCAGTGGCACGGCACGTGCACGCGGCGCCCGAAGGAAGGCGCAACAAACTCGTACGTTTCATTCGAAGTCATCCCTGGCGTGCCCGCACGCTCCCGCAGCCGGTCACGCGTGCTTTAAAGAGGGGTCCGCATCATGCGTGGCCACGGGGCCAACCTCTCGTGTTTACCACAATTTGAATAATGCCCCTCCAGGCTCGGGCCACACGCGTCCGAGCAACAGGAGCAGAAGGAGGCGTAGGGAAGTGCTCCCCAGGAAGAAGAAACACTCACCGGCGGTCCTGGCTCGCCGGGCTCTCCCTGCTTGCCCCTCTTGCCTCGCTTCCCGGGCGGACCTGCATAAAGAAAGAACAACGTCGCTGAGCAAAGCGAGGGTGCAAAGAGAAAGCAGCGCAACCGGTTGGCACGCGCCCAATTACCCCTGACGCGAGCGCCCGGAGACGTTCATTTTTGTTTCGCCGATGTCGATACGCGCAGCTAGCACCAGCGTACCCTTGCGCTGCTGCCCGGTATTGCTTGCGGGACCCGAAAATTAATTTTGCTTACGAGGCAGTGTAAACGGAGGGAGAGGGCGGTGGTTAAGGCAGCGACTGTCGTCGCTGTAGGCTTTTGCTACTGCGCGAGCCAGGCAGACACGCTGGCCCAGCTGGTTGTTTACATTCAATTAACTTGTTGCGTTCCGACCGAATTCCCTCTCCCGTATTAAGCGCGCGAACAGGCGCAGCCCGGCAGCAACAGCTGTCTCGCATACACTGTATGCAAAGCTTATTTTACGTTCCACGCGTTGCATATCAATGTCTTCGCTATGGCCGCCGAGAAACACAAACGAAATAGAAATGCAGCCACGGAAGAGCGTGCACGAGCCTTGCAAGGAGTGACGGCTGTTCGGCCTTTCGCGCTTACGAGAGCTTCTTGATTGATTGATATGTGGGGTTTAACGTCTCAAAACCACCACATGATTATAAGAGACGCCGTAGTGGAGGACTCCGGAAATTTCGCCACCTGGGGTTCTTTAACGTGCACCCAAAGCTGAGCACACGGGCACACAACATTTCCGCCTCCATCGGAAATGCAGCCGCCGCAGCCGGGATTCAATACCACGACCTGCGGGTCAGCAGCCGAGTACCTTAGCCTGTAGACCACTGCGGCGGGGCTACGAGAGCTTCTTGTACTCCCATTCTGACTTCTACGGTGCTTAGTGAATCAGGAATGAGGGCACTGTTTTACGGTCAGTCGTGCTCACGACGCAAGGACGGTTTTTCGGGCTGTGTCTGCGATAGTACACAATCTAGCGTGTACTACATGGCCGCTTACCACTTTTCACGGCCTTCGTTACTTCCAGACAGTTATTTTTGTTAAGAGGCAATCCTAGAGAGTAGGCACTCAGACAAAGCACTGCGTATGAGATCGTCTTAGGTTGTCGCCAATCGCGCATGGGCCAAACGCGAACCTTTTGGGCATGTGCGTTATTTCTAGAAAACGGCTTACATACTCAAGGAATGCGAGACTTGGATACCCAATTCCGAATCTCGAGACCTTTCATTACTTTTTCTCAGTTAACACAGGCTAATGTCACTGGTGTTGCCGTACAACGCCTGTATCCCACTTTTACAGAGCGATGGACAAAAAACTAACAAAACGGAAAACAATTTTCCGTTTTCTCTTTCTCCTTGCCTGCGTGCAATAAAGCAATGTATACAGTCGTTGCAGATGTGCGATACAAAGGCGTCACCACTGCTATGCGTCGTTTAAAAAACGGTACAGAGTCATTTATTCTCCGAGAGGAAAGACAATAGTATTCATCCCTGACACTCATTTTCATTTCTATATATCCTAATGAGTCGGTTACATTAGGCTATTTTTCTCAACGACCTCCTGTTACATAATCTTAATTAATTTCCATCTTGTGCTTGGTTTTCACAGATGTAGCAGAACGCACGAAAAAAATATGGTTTTTCCCTCCGCGTAAGTCGGCTCACTCCAGTGGTCATTAGCAGCAGTGATACTGCCCTAGCCAACAAAACGAAAAATCCGCAGATAAAAATAACCCGGATAGCACTGGGATCAATTTCGGACACTTCACTTCAGAGTCCTTTGTTATACCACTGAGCCATGTTCAGTTAGCTTCTTATGTTTTTCAGTTTATAACCTCGTTTCCTTTTTGCTCAGATATACATTTTTTTGCCTGTTTCGCAATAGCTATATGTTGTGATATTAGTTGCATGGAAGCGAATACTGAGCCACAACAAACCTTCAGTAATATTTCTCCTTCACACTGCCTGCGCGATCGGCGGTTGCCACTTGCGTTTCTCGTAAATACAACTCCGCGCCGATCACTGTGTGAGTGGCAGGACCATGAAACAGTGCCAGTCATGAAAGCCAATCAACAAACGCTCCAACGACGAGCCACTTCTCGCGAATATTCGATCCGAACTGCTCTCGAACGCTGCTATTTTCTGTGTCATCCGAAATCTAATCAATCATCGTGGTCGCGGAGGCCAAGCAAAATAGCAATATTAATAATAAACCAGCTATGATCTCAAGAAAAAAAAAGAAAAGAAAATGAACAGACAGGAGAATACAAGGGTGGTTCATCGCCACGCGGTAGTTTCGAAACAAAATGAAATGAAGCTTTCTCCTTTCAAATAACACGATGAATAATTTTACCTTGAAGCTTAATTAAGATACAATACTTTCATAAGTGTACGCGAAGCTTCAAGCACCTTCGGTGTAATTTTTTTCTTTCTTCTTAAAACAAGCACTCTGCTGCTCATTGCTGGCTGTATAGAGTTTTGACAAGTATACAGAAAACCCGCTCTTGCGTTAGAACAGTCTAGGTTTTTCCTGCATAAGGACGTCAGCCGCGCACGGCACGCACGAAATTAAATTGCCATTATCAGCCAGTGTTGATTTCATTATTGAATTTACTTACAAAGACAATATAAAAAACTCAGGTGCGTTTCATAATATGAGAAAGGATGAACAAAATTTAGTAACGGACTCAGAGAGAGAAAAAAAAGAACAATCAAAGAAGGATGAAAATTAGGTCAAAGACGGTTAATTGAATAATAGGTTTAGAGCGCCTATATAATACTGCAGCCTCATCCAGCGCGTACCATTATTATCCCGAGAAAAAGGTGTATTTTTTCCTGTATTGATGAGACCATGATCAATGAAGAGCCTACACACTGTTTTACGCATAACAGTGTTGAACCACGCACACAAGCAGTTCGACGATCGAAACGTGTTACACCACGCATATCGTATACTCGCAAAATCTCACATGAGGTTAAGCGAATAAGCCACCTCGTCAAGGTGCTCGGTAGGCACCATTTCTTTCACAGAAACAAAAAAGTAAATAGTAAAGCATTGAGTGAGGCTAAATTCAAGAAGGGCAACACAACAGCAGTATATAACACATGTGTTACATTTCCGGTGTATAACATAATTTAACTTGTTACGGGGCACAAATAAAAATCACATTCACATACCCCCCCCCCCCCCCTTCTCAATTTTACCAGTAAAAAACGACGCCAAAATATTCTTGATGCACATACAGGTGCTCTGCGCAGCAAATGCAGCAGCCGTTCTTTCAAAAAATGAAAAAAAAAAGGGGGGGGGGGCTACTCTTGTGGCTTAGTAGAGCACTGCACGCGTGATTACAAGGTGCGGGTTTGCGCCACGTCGGTGGTATAAGCTTGGTATTTTCCTACATTTTCATTTCACTTTCTCCTTTAGTTACTTCAAATATAAAGTACAGACAATATACGCCTTCTGTGATTTCCTTAGCTTCACTCTCTGGTGGCCTCACATTGTGGCACTTAAAAAAAAAGATAAAGAAGAAAACACGAGCAACCTCCATTCAATCTCCTTATTTCGTTAGATTATTAAGTTTAAATCCACGTTTTTATAACTCTCAGATTCCGGTGTCATAGGCAAACAAATCCGGCACATGCGAGGAAGTTCCGCACTCGAAGATGCGCCCATCACATGCGCGTCTGTGTTCTCCGTTTCCCAATAATTGAGGCTCTTTCGTTTGGGGGCTTCTCGCCAATCAGCCGTTTGGCAATGCGATCTTTTATCGATGACCTGTCATGTTACAATGTCAGATTTCGTTATTTGACTGGATACGAATGAATGACCATCGTTGTTGCATTTATCAAAAGAAGTGTCGCGCTGTTAAGTAGGTAAATGGAAGTTCAATTCTCGTATTGAAGGGAACAAGCAGTTTGGAGAGAGCGTTGCGGAATGAGAAAGAAAGAAATGAAGAAAGAAAGAAAGAAAAGAATGAAGAAATAAAAAAAAGCGGTACGTAAGGTAAATCCACGCTAAGCTTCGCCTGCCCCCACTTTCCCGATAAAGCAAGGGTACCTGAATTTAATTTTTTTTATACGAGTCAACATGTAGCTGATATTGCAGGCGTTGGCAAGATTGTTGTGACTCTGGCGTATCCGTTCTAACGTATAAGCCATGCTTCAAGAAGACGGGCCGAGATAATTAAAGACGAATCTGGCTGGAATAATTGTGTCTCTGTTGTTCGTATTTCCAGTTTCAATTCACTCCCGATATTGATGACCATAACTGGAGCGTTCAATCTTTACGCAATATAAGCCATTGCTGAGCCCCTTATTGTGAAGTAGGTGGGACAAAATGGAGCTTTAAAACACGCTTTAAATTAGAATTCTTGAGGAATATTGATAGGCCAATAATTATATTCCGCCAGTATATACAGCCTATGAAACGGGTTTTGTATTGCGTGCAGTGCTACCCGGACTGTTGTTAAAAGTTGCTAAATGTTGCGAACAACACTCATGCTGGGAAAAACATTCTGTTGAACTGTATCGTTTAAATATGTTTGCAACTACTGCGATTGGGGAGACATTTAAATTTATATCGTCTAAAGCGTATCGTCTGCAGCGTACCATCAACATGCGTTGGTTGTCGCGACAAAAAGAAAACAAAAAAATAGCGTTGGCTTAGCTCAGCTATGCCAGGATATACGTAGCGTTAGCAAAGGTTCAGTTGATTATTCTTAGCTTTCCAGATATCATGCATACAGCTGTTCCAATGACACACACACGGTATACGTATCATGTGGCACATGTGTGTTTATTTTGCCGGGCAACTACTTCGGGATCCGATGAGTAAAGCTTCTCAGCAGCATTTGCACTCTCCTTCTTCATGGCTATACCACAGTGGCAAACGCCAGTCAGAGGCGCTATCAACCGGCTCCAGCGCAGTGTCAGATGGCGACTGCACAGGGAAGGCGCGCGCGTCGGCGTCCATATGTCTACCAAGGCTATGACGGCACTCCTCTGGAAAGCGCACACCGGCG